GTGATGTATTGTTACGTGATGTATTGTTACGTGATGTATTGTTACGTGATGTATTGTTACGTGATGTATTGTTATGTGATGTATTGTTATGCGATGTATTGTTACGTGATGTATTGTTATGCGATGTATTGTTATGTGATGTGTTGTTCTGTGATGTATTGTTATGTGGTGTGTTGTGATGTGATGTATTGTTTTGTGATGTATTGTGATGTGATGTATTGATATGCGATGTATTGTGATGTGATGTATTGTTATGTGATGTATTGTTATGTGATGTAGTGTTATGTGATGTTATGTGATGTATTGTGATGTGATGTATTGTTATGTGATGTATTGTTATGTGATGTATCGTTACTGCACTACACTTCATTCGTAACTCGGAAGATTGCTTCCCAACTTCCTTTGACAATTTGTACAAAATATTATATGTATATATATATATATCTCAGTATGTGTGTGTGTGTGCGTGATGCTTTTCAAAAGAATATCGAACCAAAAAAGGAGAGTTGCTCTCCTTGGCGTTCCATTTTCATTCCAGCTAGGGGGAGGTTGCACCTCCCCCCCCCCCCACCCTTGCTCTCCAAGCCCGCTCAAGCTAGAAGTGGCTTTCACCACCCCCCCATGGAAGATGCCCCCCCCCCCCCCCAGCTGTTCCCATTCCATAGGAGGGGGGGGTGCCCCCCCCCCCCCCCGCTGTGCCCATCCAAGGTTGGGGCCCCCCAGCTGTGCCCATCCCCCCCCCCAGCTGTTCCCATTCCATAGGAGGGGGGGGTGCCCCCCCCCCCCCCCGCTGTGCCCATCCAAGGTTGGGGCCCCCCAGCTGTGCCCATCCAAGGTGGGGGGGTACACCACCCCCCCCCACCTCCACCCCTTCAAGGGGAGAGATCTTTTGATCCGTTTCGTTTCGCTTCTTTTCCTTTGTGCCTTGTTATTGTTGTTCTCGTTGTTGTTCTTCCTTCTTCTTCTTGTTCTTGTGTCTGGTGTCGTCTGTCTTGTATTGTGCCTTAAACATTACCCCACATAAATTTCCTAAGGCTGGTGGGGGGCATGTGGGGGAGGGCGCAGCGCCTCCCCCCAAAGAACACAGGAAGAACAGCGTTCTGGTTTTGATCCGTTTCCTTTCTGTTCTTTTCCTTTGTGCCGTGTTATTGTTATTCTCGTCGTTGTTCTTCCTTCTTCTTTCTGTTGTTGTCTCTGGTGTCGTCGTTTTTGCCCCCCACCAGCCTTAGGAAACAATACAAGACAGACGACACCAGACACAAGAACAAGAAGAAGAAGGAAGAACAACAACGAGAACAACAAGAACAAGGCACAAAGGAAAAGAAGCGAATCGAAACGGATCAAAGCCAGAACGCTGTTCTTCCTGTGTTCTTTGGGGGGGAGGCGCTGCGCCCTCCCCCCCATGCCGCCCCACCAGCCTTAGGAAATTTATGTGGGGTAATGCTTAAGGCACAATACAAGACAGACGACGCCAGACACAAGAACAAGAAGAAGAAGGAAGAACAACAACGAGAACAACAATAACAAGGCACAAAGGAAAAGAAGCGAAAGGAAACGGATCAAAGCCAGAACGCTGTTCTTCCTGTGTTCTTTGGGGGGGAGGCGCTGCGCCCTCCCCCCATGCCCCCCACCAGCCTTAGGAAATTTATGTGGGGTAATGTTTAAGGCACAATACATGACAGACGACACCAGACACAAGAACAAGAAACAAGAAGGAAGAACAACAACGAGAACAACAATAACAAGGCAGAAAGGAAAAGAAGCGAAACGAAACGGATCAAAGCCAGAACGATGTTCTTCCTGTGTTCTTTGGGGGGGACGCGCTGCGCCCTCCCCCCCATGCCCCCCACCAGCCTTAGGAAATTTATGTGGGGTAATGTTTAAGGCACAATACAAGACAGACGACACCAGACACAAGAACAAGAAAGAAGAAGGAAGAACAACAACGAGAACAACAATAACAAGGCACAAAGGAAAAGAAGCGAAAGGAAACGGATCAAAGCCAGAACGCTGTTCTTCCTGTGTTCTTTGGGGGGGAGGCGCTGCGCCCTCCCCCCCATGCCCCCCACCAGCCTTAAGAAATTTATATGGGGCAATGTTTAAGGCACAATACAAGACAGACGACGCCAGACACAAGAACAAGAAGAAGGAAGAACAACAACGAGAAGAACAATAACAAGGCACAAAGGAAAAGAAGCGAAACGAAACGGATCAAAGCCAGAACGCTGTTCTTCCTGTGTTCTTTGGGGGGGAGGCGCTGCGCCCTCCCCCCCATGCCGCCCCACCAGCCTTAGGAAATTTAGTGGGGTAATGTTTAAGGCACAATACAAGACAGACGACGCCAGACACAAGAACAAGAAGAAGAAGGAAGAACAACAACGAGAACAACAATAACAAGGCACAAAGGAAAAGAAGCGAAAGGAAACGGATCAAAGCCAGAACGCTGTTCTTCCTGTGTTCTTTGGGGGGGGGGCGCTGCGCCCTCCCCCCCATGCCCCCCACCAGCCTTAGGAAATTTATGTGGGGTAATGTTTAAGGCACAATACAAGACAGACGACACCAGACACAAGAACAAGAAACAAGAAGGAAGAACAACAACGAGAACAACAATAACAAGGCAGAAAGGAAAAGAAGCGAAACGAAACGGATCAAAGCCAGAACGATGTTCTTCCTGTGTTCTTTGGGGGGGACGCGCTGCGCCCTCCCCCCCATGCCCCCCACCAGCCTTAAGAAATTTATGTGGGGCAATGTTTAAGGCACAATACAAGACAGACGACACCAGACACAAGAACAAGAAACAAGAAGGAAGAACAACAACGAGAACAACAATAACAAGGCACAAAGGAAAAGAAGCGACACGAAACGGATCGTGGTGGGGGGGTGCCAAGAACCGGTTCTTCGCGTGGTGTGTGGTGTCTGTTGGGGGGAGGCGCGCGGCCCTCCGCCCCCATGCCCCCCACGCAGCCGTTAGGCGTAAATTTAGGTGGGGTATGTTTAGTGCACAACAATTGCGAGCATGACGGGGGGGTCTGGCTCGTTCGCTGACAGAAAAAGGAAAAAAAAACAAAGGAACAAGAAGAAGAGTTTTGGAACACAACAACGAGAACAACAATAACAAAGCACAAAGGAAAAGAAGGGAAACGAAACGGATCAAAGCCAGAACGCTGTTCTTCCTGTGTTCTTTGGGGGGGGGGGGCGCTGCGCCCTCCCCCCCATGCCCCCCACCAGCCTTAAGAAATTTATGTGGGGCAATGTTTAAGGCACAATACAAGACAGACGACACCAGACACAAGAACAAGAAGAAGAAGGAAGAACAACAACGAGAACAACAATAATAAGGCACAAAGGAAAAGAAGCGAAACGAAACGGATCCAAGCCAGAACGAATGTTCTTCCTGTGTACTACTACTACAACAACAACAACAACTACTACTACTACTACGACGACTACTACTACTACTACTTCTACTACTAGTACTACTATTACTACTAGTACAACTACTACTACTACTGCTGCTACTACTGCTACTACTACTCCTACTCCTGCTCCTACTCCTACTCCTACTACTACTCTACTACTCTACGACTCTACTACCCTACTACTCTATTACTCTATTATTCTACTACTCTACTACTCTACTGTTACTACGACGACGCCGACGACGACGACGACTACTACTATTACTACTACTACTACTGCTACTACTACTACTACTACTAATACTACTACTACTACTACTACTACTAGTACTCCTGCTGCTACTACTACTACTACTACTTCTACTACTACTACTACTCCTGCTGCTTCTGCTGCTGTTACTGCTACTGCTACTGCTACTGCTACTGCTACTGCTATTACTACTACTATTACAACTACAACTACAACTACAACTACAACAACTACTACTACTACTACCACCACTACCACTACCACTACCACTACCACTACTACTACCACTACTACTACTACTATTATCAACAACTAACTCCAAAGCGTAAATTTGTGTTATGCTACTACTACTACTACTACTACTACTACTACTACTACTATTATCAACAACTAACTCCAAAGCGTAAATTTGTGTTATGCTACTACTACTACTACTACTACTACTACTACTACTACTACTACTACTACTACTACTGCTTCTACTTCTAGTCAGGCCAAAATCTAAAAAAAGATTTGCTGCGAGATGAGGAGTAGGGGGTGGTGGAGCCTTCCCTCCTGATCGTTGGAAGCTGGGGGGAGGGGATTGTGGACCCACTCCGCCCTGTTTGTCGGTAGCTGAGGGGGGGTGGTGGTGGACCCACCCCCCCCTTGTTTGTCGGCAGCTGAGGGGGGGGGGTGGTGGACCCACCCCCCCCTTTGTGAATGGCTACAGTGACTATGAATGGCTATAGTGACAAAGCTGGGGGGGGGGTGGTGCACCCCCCCCTCCCCAAGTTGAAGAAGAACACAAGTGAGCAAACTATCGGATTTTCCCATTGAAAATGGTGATTTTCAATAGCTATGTTAAATTACCAGAGGGTAACAGTCAGAATCTGGCCAAAAATCGCGCCCCTTCACCAATGATTGCTGACCAGGAATCAGTCGCTACCAGGGCACCGGTGTCCCCATCACAATGGAGGTGGTCACATTGACATGGCTTTCTCTACACCCCCCCGAAAATATCCAAAAATCCCATGGTGCATCATCATTATCATCATTATCATCATTTCTCCCCAGTGAAAAATGAGTTCTTCATGACTTTTGTTGACACACTGTCCATACCCTCTGGTAATTTGTTACATAGCTATTGAAAGATCCACCCATTTTATAGCTGGGAAAATCCACTATTTCTATGGTCATTTTCAATAGCTATTTTTAGACATAACCAGAGGGTATATCCCATTAAATCCCATTAAATCCCATTAAACCACCATTTTCCTATGGTTTTCCTATGGTTTTCCTCATCGTTTGGTGATCTTTCCAGCTCCGCAAATGTCACCAGAAATTCATGGCTCCTTGGGTCCAGCGTGGGCTTCCTGGAGGAATTGGACATGACCCGTCGCACACTTGTAAACCTCGGTCGTGTTGTGTTCCCCGCGGCGCAGCATATCTACCCTCTGGTTATGTCTAAAAATAGCTATTGAAAATGACCATAGAAATAGTGGATTTTCCCATTAATAGCATGGGTGGATCTTTCAATAGCTATTTTGACATAACCAGAGGGTAGACCTACAGATCCACTTGGGAATCGCTCACGTATTCTACAAGGTGGTGCCCCCTAGATAGCTAAGTTGGTTTATAACTCCAATAACTATGGTTTTTGTTGGTGATATATCTATAGTTAATGGGGTTTATAAACCAATTTATAACTAGGGGGGCACCACCTTGTAGATATATAGAATATTATAGAATGATATACCATCTGGTTATTTAACATAGCCATGGAAAGATCCACCCATTTTTAAGAACGGTAAACCATCTATTTCTATGGGCCATGTTCCATGGCTATGTTAAATAACCAGAGGGTAATATGATATAATAATTCACATGTTTAGATATATTTAGATCTTTGTAGTTGGGAATAAACATGAATAAACATGAATAAACCACATCTGGAAACTAAATGTGGTGAATGTCCCTTGATTTTGTGTTTTGAGTTCCAGAAACCCTGAGGGTCAAATGTTCCTTGGAACAAAAAATCACATCGCCGTCAAAAAGCTTGGGTTTTTTTTCTCTTTTTTGAAAGGGAATCATGTGCTTCTGCGCCAAGTTGGGCAAAAAATGAAGATCAGTCATCAGAGCAGTCGATTTTGCTCGGGATCTATATTTTTGGACCTGAAGCACGTCCAGAGATCGCTGGAACCCCCCAATGTCAAAAAAGTGTGATCGACTGCAGAAAAACCGGTCGGGATTTGAAGGAAACGACGACGATGACCTTTTGAAACATGAGAGGTTGATGTGGGGAGTTAGCCAAGAGTTGCTATTCGACCATCAGCGATGCACGGGCCAGCCCAAACAGGTGCTTCAGTAAGTCAACAAAGGCAGAGAGGCTCTGAAATCTGCCAATCTGCTGGGCTACCTTTGCCCAGCGGAATCTAAGTTCTTACATATTCCACCCGTTTTTTCACGGGATGTGAAAATTGCATAAAATTGCTATACCCTCTGGTAACCAAACGTGGCAATGGAAAATCGCCGAACTAAACACAGGTTTTAAGTCCGTAAAAATAGCTGGGAATTTCATCAAACTAATGCCCTGGCCTTGATGATTGACATATGATGAAAAAAGGGTCATTCTGACATCCCAAAAAAGATGACGTTTGCATCAACTCAAGATGTCATAACATCTCCTCCGGATATAGTTTCCCTATCAAAAATGGTGATGATCCATAGTTATGTTAGTTTACCAGAGGGTAATTCATAGGAAATCACCAGAGCCTTTTTCCCCCCTGACCAGCATTTGTGTGAAGTCGAACGGACTAGGACCACCCACAGCGCCACGGATCTCCAATTCTCCAGTCTGTACCTGCCGTGGGTGGATCTCTTCCAATTTTTGCGGCTGGAAGTGGTGGCAACTCTCTGATATCATGGTGATATCATGGGGATAGTACCCTCTGGTAAACTAACAAAAAGCTATTGAAAATGGCCATAGAAATAGTGAGTCTTCCCATTAAAAATGGTGATTTTCCATAGTTATGTTAGTTTACCAGAGGGTAATAGCAATGGCATATGAATGGAATATTGATGAGTAGCCTCCAGCGTCATCAAATCTGGCTGGAGAATCCCCGAACCAAATGAGCGTCGCAGAATCATCGAAGTCAACGGGTGGTTGCCATGTTTGATTACCAGTCGATTTACTGATGTACCCTCTGTCAATTCCATTATGGAAAATCACAATTTTCAAAGTTGGGGGAGCTATCATTGAACTAAACTCATGGCTTCCAGTTCGCAGCTAGTCACCGTCTTTCAGGGGAACTTTAGGAACTCTACAACGGCAGGAATCAACAGTTGCAGGCCTGTTTTTCCTACACTCCCGCCCCAAAAACCAGCAACACCCGGCCTTTTCTCGGATGCAGCTACTGTACTGCAGAAGACAGTCCATGGTGTGGTAGATATTCAGTTCCACAGCCTCTTCCATTGAAATTTCCTGAACCAAGGTACCCAAAACCAAGATTGTGTAGGGCCAAATTGGGAAACCAAGTAGACGACCAAGTGGAAATTAACAGATGTTAACGGATGCTAATGGATACTATTGGATGTTAATGGATGTCAATGGATGTTAATGTATGTTAATGTCTACATGTTTTGTGGATGTATAATGGTTTATAGGTCAACAAACAGAAGGTTTTGGGATGAATTGAACTTCTGGGAGCAAACGAGGTTCCAACTACAACTACAGGGTGCAAGATGCCACGGGCTTGAACTCGTAACACTAGGGAAAAATTACATCCAATCTTGGCCGTGAATGTAACAGTATTATCCAAAAAAAATAAAAAGCATCGAAATGGTTCAATGTTCCACTGGTTAAAACAATAATAATCCACCCATCTGGGAATGGTAAACAAACCACCTATTTATGGTAACATGACTGGGGGATAGTTTATGGCATTGTTTTACCCAGATTAGTTCAACTTCAGGATCTTCCACTTCTGGCAAAAACGGTCCTTGGAGCCATCGGACGCCGAACGAATGCCTTGGACCAAAGCGTCCGATGCCTGAGGCGAATCGGTTTTTGTGAAGCCCCAAAAATGGTGATTCAATGGGAGTTGACCGGATTTCATAGATGTTTGTTGGTGGGACTATCATGGGATACATCACCTACTTGAGGGTGCAGTCCAGGTTTTGTACCTTTATGGCGTTGTAAACCTCCTTAACTTGGGAAGCCCTAAAACTATGGAACGAAATCTATCCACGTTGTTCACTGGAACTGCACTTCCAAGTAGAAAACACCCCCCAAACGAAACCCTTGTTTAGCATTGGAATCTATGCTTTTTGGGGCGGGCACATAAGGATGATATGGAGTATTTGGGAGGAATCCATTTCTAAAAATATGAAAAATGACGTGGTTCTATCTTTTTGTTGGGGGGTGCGGCATGTAATAATTCTGAATTCGCAAAAAATGACCTTCAAAAATTGGTGGGTTTTTTTTCGGGGATATCATGGGGGCATATTCTTCCATAGCTCGGGAGGTCACGAGAGGATCCTTTCATGAAAGTTCGCCAAACGGCACAAAAACATGTTGGTTTACATAGGATTTAAACCGACCAAGAATGGAAATACAAAAGTGATAAACTGGCATCCCTCATCAATGCGGTTTTAGACGTGTCATACAATGATACGGAAATGGTATGATGGGTGAACAGACTAGTTCTCAAGTTGGGGCTATTTAAAAAATGGTTTAAACATGTTTTAAATCTTCAGCAAATCCGATAAGTCTCAACCAAATTGACTTTTCCCATTTATGGGACCTAATTAATTTTTCCCGCAAAAACGACCCCAACCACGGGCCTTCCCTGCGCAACTCTCCACACACATGGCACTGGACAAAGCCATGCAGGCAGTGTGGCCCAGGACCAGAATGAGTTTCCTCGGCAGATTCGAATCGAAAATGGTTTGGATGAATCTGGGTAACTTATCATATTTCACCCATCTGAAATGTTCAGCTATTTTTTGGATAGTTAACCCTTAGAGAGCATCATTCCAAACTGAAAATTTGGTTTGGATTCGGATGATATAATGCTATGATATCATTGGATTTTCGGATGAACATGTGGTTTCGAATTTGGATTGGACATTAAAATTAAAAATTAGGATTGGAATCTACAAATGATGGGTTTTGTTTTAAAATACAAAACAATAACTTGAATGGAGATATAAATGGGGATATAGAATGGGATTCCCGATGTCATGACGTGCGATGAACATGGCAATCTTTATGGCTATGGGAAAAATTGGTATCGAGTATCATTTTTGGGGGCTTAAGCGAACAATATTCATTGAATCAAGAATGAAAAACCGAGGTGTTGCGTTGACCAACCACAAATGGTGTTCTCAAGCCCATCAACAAATGAGGGTGATCGATCCAATCACGGGGTAAAGCACCAGCACCAACCACAGATGGGTTTACAAATCGGGTAGACACTGGGAAAAAAAAAACTCTTGACTACTGGAAAAAAAAAAGAATCAAGGTTCACCCCTACTCTCCACACTGGAAAAAAAACTTAAGACACTGGGAAAAAAAACTTAAGAATTTGTACTTTGAACCTTTTTGCAGCTGAAATATCTTATTTGTACAACATGTGCAGGGTTTGGGCACTTAAACATGCAATTGCATGATATTTAAAGAGTTCTGGCCTTGAATAATTCAATTTTGTGCAGCTGAAATCTCTTATTTTTAGAATATTTGCAGGGTTTTGGAACTTAATTATGCAATTTGCATGGTATTTAAAGCGTTTTGGCCTTGAATCCCTTGTTTGCACCGTGCTCGCAGCATCTTGGAGCCAGCATCTTTACTACGCAGGGATTATCTGCAGCATTTCGTGTTATTTGCAGCATATTGTCTAGAGTTAGTTTTTGGATCTATTTCAGGTTGGTTAGGGTGTATTTGGTATTTGGGAGATCAAAGGATGAGAAGGGTAAAGGACCAGGATGAGGAGGGTAAGAGGACCCAGGGACCAGGGGACCAAGGGACCAGAGGACCACAGGACCAGGGGACCAGAGGACCAGGGGCAAAGGATCAGGGGAACCTGAAATTGTTTTTCCAGTAAATTTATATTTTTTTCCAGGGTCTTAGATTTTTTTCCAGGAAACTTAATTTTTGTCCAGTATCATCCCTTACAAATCAACCAAGGAGTGGGGTTTTAAGCAACTTTGACCAGCCTATGACTTTAGATCTCAGCCAGATTATGTATATTGAGCAAGTGACCTTTGGTCAGTTTGCCACGTTTCAAGCAAGATGGGGAAATTGTACATCAAAATGCGGACGGCCCCCAAGCAAAACAATGAGATGGTTAGTTTCAAAAACAAGCAAATCGGAAACATTCCGAGGAATCTGAGCGACCCAAAACGAAAATAGCCAAGTAAAATCTCCTTGAAATCGTGATAAATCACATGTCTACATCTTTTTGGTGACCAAAAACACCAAGTTCCACCGTGGCACGTCATTAGCTTGCAGGTGCAAAACTCCAGACTGGTGACCATGCTGCCTGTGATGATGGATGGGATCATTTGGATCATTTCCCTCCGCGGCCATGAGAATGGTTGGTATCCTCTGGTTAAGAATGGTTGATAATGGTTAAGAATGGATAATAATGGTTGATAATGGATAGTATATTGGTTGATAATGGATAGTATATTGGTTGATAGTGGATAATAATGGTTGATAATGGATAGTATATTGGTGGTCAATAGTGATTCATGGTGATGAATGGCCATGAAATTCGCCTCTGGGAATCATTTCCGTGGAAAATCATCCATCAGTCGTGGATTTTCCACATTTGATGACCAGATGGTACCCTCTGGAAATTTAACATAACTATGGAAAATCACCATTTTTAATGGGAAAATCCACTATAAATGGCCATTTTCAATAGCTATGTTAGTTTACCAGAGGGTATGATCCCATATTGCCAGGGTAAAATTGCTCCATCGCTGAGGCGCCAGGAGCCTGTTGAGGGGGCCGCAAGCAACTCAATCAATTTTGTGGGTAAACAAACATAGCAATGACGAATTCCAACCTCCAATAGTATAGAACATAGTAGAACAGTAAAAACATGTACAGTAAAAACTATTTAGATATCCGAGATTGTTTATCGCAATGTCAGCTTGCCTTTTTGGGCCATTCGACCCTTCTGCTGACGCTGACAGCGACAGGACTCCCGCCTTTGGCATGTGTGATGGTATTGCCCGCATTCCTTGGCTGGGAAGAGGTGTACTCCCTAAAAAGATGGACAATACGAGAATGGATGGCTAAAAATCTCTGGGTCGCTGGCTCTAAAAATGTTTGACCCCCACGCGCCCACGCAAATCATATAAGTTTGGGTCGCAGTTGCTATCAAACCATGCAACTGTTGACTAGCCATGTCAACCTGGATCAATGCACCCCCGATGGATTGAACACATGGGCCCACAGTACCATGTTCCAAGCTGTTTGCAAAGCCACTTGTCTCCCCAAAAAGGTTGGTGATTGCATTCGCTCCGCAAGCGAATGAACCCCTTCACTCCATTACCCAAAACCCAAAGGGCCTGACCACTCCAAGATTCGAATCTTGTTTCAACCCAAAAATTAGGCCAATCTCCCCACCCAACCACCAAACATTTATCGGGTTTATCCTGTATACAACACGGTTATCACCGTTGTTGCTAGTTGGGAGAAATTTGGGTTTATATCTCGTTATCCCCATTCTTGGTTTCGTTAATTTACTCAAAAAAAAATGTTGGCGAAACAGCCATCCAACCTATCCAACGCATCCAAACAGCAACTTCCCCCCAAAAGGAAATACACGACGATCCACAAATAAATGTACGTGTATGTATGTATATATATATATATTTATATATATATAATATGTATGTATATATATATGTATACATTTGTGATTATTTGGAAATAAAGGGACATTCAGTCCTTGTAGAAGCTCAACCACCCAACCCATCCAACCACATGGATAAATAGTGTGATAATTCACTGGCCCCCCTTTTACACCCATTATATGGTTGATTATACGCCGGCTTGTTGATGATTTTCCCAATAACCAAGATTTTTGGTAGTTATACGTATAAATCCCACTTACATCCCATTGTATCCCCGTGATTATCCCCATTGTTCTCCCACTATTACGAGTTGTTAAATCAGGTTAAGTCCCTTTTGCTGGGTCAATCCCAATGTTAAATTTTAAAAAAACAGCTCCCATTAAACCACCATTCATTCCATCCATGCAAATTGCCTTTTTGCTTGGTAACATCCGCCATGTTTTCTTGGATACCCTCCGGTAGTCGAAGGTGGCAATGGAAATTCCTCTGTAAATGGAGGCTTTAATGAGAAAATCATCTATAAATGATCCATGCCACAGTTGATTACTGGAGCGTAAATCCCATATCCAATTGAGCCATTGAAAATACCCCTATCTCAGTATACTAGTTGGTTGATAGGTTTTCCCTCCTATGGGTTATCATAATGGCTCAATTTTCATAGGAAAACCCCAACGCCTTGTGCCTT